CAAGTGCGAGATGTTGGGGAACAGAGCGAGAGATATTGGGGAATAGCGTGCAAGTGACAGATGTTGGGGAACAGAGCAAAGGAGAGCGTTTGAGAGATGTTGGGGAACAGAGCAAGAGAGAGTGAGTGAGTGATGTTGGTGAACAGAGCGAGAGAGAGACAGAGAGATGTTGAGGAACAGAGCAAGTGAGAGCAACTATGTGTGGGTGACAGAGAGATGGAGAGGGAACAAAGAGACGGTGGGGGGGACATGCCAGAATGAGAGAGGCAGAAAGAGAGAGAAAGAAAGAGAGACAAAGGGAGATTAAGAGAGAGGGCAGAGTGGGAGGGAATTAGCAGAGAGGAAGGGAGAGGAGGCCAGAGAGAGAGAGAGAGAGAGAGAGTTGGTGAGTGAGACCGTGTGTAGGTGACAGAGAGCTGGGAGTTGGGGAGGGGGCAGGGGTGTAGGGGGGTGTAACATGGTGAGGGGCAGAGACACTCACAGTAAGAGGGGAGAGTGAAGGGAGTGACAAAGAGAAAGACAGAGAGAGATGGCCCGAGAGAGACAGCCAGAAATAAAGGCAGAAAGGGACCAGAGAAAGAGAGATATGGGGGTATTGCAGAAAGAGAGAGGGGGCCAGGGAGAGACAGGGAGTGAGATGAGGGACATAGAGAAGGGAGAGAGATGGTCTGAGACACAGAGCTGGAGAGAGAGACTTTATGTAGGGGCACAGAGATGGGATGATGGGGCAGAGACAGAGACAGAGAGAGAGAGAGAGACAGAGAGAGAGAGAGAGGCGGAGGCAGAAACAGACAGAGAGCGAGAGAGAGGAGGAATAGATAGAGAGACAGCAAGAGAGAGAGCGGAGGAACAGATAGAGAGAGAGACAGAGAGAGAGGGGGAGGAGATAGAGATAGAGAGGAGGGGACGCAGAGGAAGATTTGGGGGGACAGAGAGACTGGGAGACAGAAAGGGGCTAGACAGAGACAGAAAGGGGCTAAACAGTAAGAAAGAGAGGAGCTATAGAAAAAGATGGAGAGAGTGGGGACAGATGAGATAGAAAGAAGAGAGGGCCACAGAGAGTGAGAAAGAAGATGGTCTGAGGGGGACATGAGGCCACAGAGAGAGAGAAAGAGAGAAGACCACAGACAAAGAGCAACAGAGACAGAGATATAGAGTATCAAACCAAGAGAGAGGGCCAGAGAGAGACAGCAAAGGGGCCAAAAGGGAGAGTGAGGTCGGACGTGGTGGGGAAAAAGAGGAGGGGGGAAACACAGACAGGGGAACAGAGAGAAAGAGCAGACCGGGCGGAGAGGGGACGCCTGTATGGGGGGAGACAGTGGTGGAGAGAGAAAGGGCTGGAGATGTGTAAGAGTACTAAGAGTACTAATCAGATAATTATAATAGGGGATTTCAAGTTTATCAAGATAAATTGCGATAGTCACAGTGTTAAGGGTTTAGAGGGAACAGATTTCTTGAAATTTATCTAGGGGAGTTTTTTTGTATTAAAACACAGAAGGCCCAACAAGGGACAGTGCAGTGCTGGATCTTGTTCTGGGCTAAGAAGTGTTTGATGTGGCAGTGGGGAAACATTTAGACGATAGCGACCACAACACGATACAGTGCAAATTTGTTCTGGACAAGGAAAAAGATGGCCTGCAAAAGATGGCTTCGAATTGCAGGAAGGTAGATTGTATTAAAATAAAGCAGGATCTGGCCACAATAGACTAGGAACAGCTCCTTGAAAGTAGCTTTATAGTGGAGCAATGGGAGGCATGCAAAAAGGGGGAAGGGTACAGGTCCAACATGTACCATTTAGTGTTATAGAGGAATACAGCATGGAAACAGGCCCTTTGGCCCAAACTGGTCCATGCTAACCATGCTGTTCACTCAGCTAGTTCCAATTGTCCACATTTGGTCCAGATCCCTCTAAACCCTTCCCATCCATGGACCTTTCCAAATGTTTTTTTAAATGTTGCTATTGTACCTGCCTGAACCACTTTCTCTGGCAGCCCATTCTATATCCGCACCACTTTCTGCGTGAAGAAGTTGACCCTCAGGTCCTTCTTAAATCTATCCCCTCTCAACTTAAACCAGCGCCCTCTAGTTTTCCATTCCCCATTCCTGGGAAAAAAGACTATATCCTACCTAAGCCCCTCATGATTTTATACACCTCAATAATACACCCCTTATTCTCCTACATTCCAAGGAATAAAGTCCTATCCTGGCCAACGTCTCCCTATAACTCAGGCCTACTAGTCCTGGCAACATCCTTGTAAATCTTCTTTGCACACTTTCCAGTTTAACTATGTCTGTCCTCTAACAGGGTGACCAAAACTGTACACAATACCCCGAGTGCGGCCTCACCAACGACTTACATAACTGTAACATAATGTCCCAACTCCTGTACTCAACACCTCAACCGGTGAAGGCCAGAATGCCACATACCTTCTTCACTGCTCTGTCTTCCAGACAAGATGGTAGACAAGGTGGTGAAGAAGGCAAAAATCAGCAAAGATGGCCCTTTTTCCACCTTTTCCATTTTTTAATTCTTTTTTTTCCCTCTACTTCTCTCCCCTCAGCATCAGAGTCGACAGCAAGTCCAGAGCAGCGAGCCCTGCAGCAGCGCCTGGGCTGTGAGCCCCAGAGCAGCGCGGGGAAGAGCCCCAGGGCAGCACGTGGGGAAGCAGTCCCGGAGTGAGCAGGAGCCGGCAGTGAGAGCGGGAGCAGGAGTAGGAGCCTGAGGTGACCGACGGTGAGCGCAAGAGCAGGCAGCACAAGGCAGCAACGGGGATGCGGAGTCTCCAGAACGATGGGTTTGGGGGGGCTGTTGCTGAGGTACAAGTCCCAGTACAACGCCACTTACCCAGTTGCTGCTGAGTGTTGGTGAGGCTGGAGCAATGTGGGACAATTTGCTGGACTTGTGCCTGGCGCCACACGCTGAGCTGCTGTTATCGGACTGTAATTTGAAACGTTCTCACTATGTTGTAACTACCTCTGTACGTAATGCTTATGATTTCCTTTAATCCTCTTCATGTACAACCTTTTTTTTTACTCTTAAGATTTGTAGCTAGGTACTTGTACCTAAGATGGCGCCATTAAAAGGCAGCTGTTGTAAAAACTTTTCACGTACTACAATATAGAAGTGTAGGAGTATAAAGTGACAATAAAGGATATTCTAATTCTACCTGTGACACCACTTTCAACAAACTATGTACTTGTACTCCTAGGTCCCTCTGTTCCACAACACTCCTCAGGACCTTACTATTTACTGTATAAGTCCTACCTTGGTTTGACTTTCCAAAGTGCAACACCTCACACTCATCTGTATTGAATTGCACTTGCCAATCCTCAGCCCACTTCCCTATCTATTCAGGATCCCCCTGTCACCTTCCTTGCTATCAATGATACCCTCCTAATTTTGTATCATCACAAACTTGCTAATCATGCCTTGTACATTCACATCCAGATCATTTATGTAAATAACAAATAACAAAAGTCCCAGCAATGACCCCTGTGGCACACCACAAGTCACAGGCCTCCAGTCCAAGAAACAACCTTCAACCATCACCCTCTGCTTCCTACCATCAAGCCAATTTTGAATTCAATTAGCTAGCTCTCCCTGGGTCCCATGCAATCTAACCTTCATGGGTAGTCTGCTATGCAGGACCCTGTCAAAGGCCTTACTAAAGACAACATCCACTGCCCTACCCTCATCTATCCTCTTTGAAAAACTCTAAAAGATTTGTCAGACATGACTTCCCGCGCACAAATCCATGCTAACTATCCCTAATCAGACCTTGACTATCCAAATGTTGATTGACCTTGTCCCTCAGTATCCTCTCCAATAACTTGCCTACCACTGATGTCAGTCTTACTGGCCTGTAGTTCCCCGGCTTGTCTTTGCTACCTTTCTTAAACAATGGAACAACATTAGCCACCCTCCAGTCTTTCAGAACTTCACCAACAGCTAAAGATAAAGCAAAAATCTCTGCCACGACCTCTGCAATTTTTTCCCAAGCCTCCAACAACATCCGAGGATGGACTTGATCAGGCTGAGGGGATTTATCCACCTTAATGCGCTTTAAGGCTACAAATACCTCCTCTCTACTGATATGTATGTGATCCAAAACATCCCTGCTTGTTTCCCTTATTTCCTTAGCAACCACGATTCTCTCCTCAGTAAATACTGAGGAGAAATATTTAGTAAAAATCTCCCCCATCTCCCGTGGCTCCACACATAGATGGCCATGCTGATCTTTGAGGGGATCTAATCTCTCCCTAGACACCCTTTTACTCAATATATCGGGAAGCGTAGCAGCAATAGGTTCAGAGAACCCTGGATGTCTCGGACAAATCAGGAGTGGATAAAGGAGATTGGTACTATAGTGGACAGTAAAGAAGGTAATCTGGGAATGTAGGAAGATCTAGATTAACTGGGCGGTGGCTGAGAAATAGCAGATGCAGTTTAATTGAGATAAAAAAAAAGCAAGGTGTTGTATTTCGGTGGGTCAATCCAGGGCAGGACTTGCACAGTCAATGATGGGACCCTGGGGAGTGTTAGAGAACATGAAGATCAGGAGGTACAGGTTCATAGCTCCTTGAAAGTGGAGGGTGAGAGGGAGGAGGGTAGGGCAGCAGGGGGGAGAAGGGGAGGGGAGTAGGAGGATGGAAAGGGAAGGGAGTTGGAGGGAAGAGAAGAGGGGGTGGAGGAGGGTTTGGGAGTGCAGGATGTTGGAGGGGTAGATGGGAGACAGGGAAGCAAAGGGGTAATAGAAGGGATGGGAGGTGGTGGTACGGTGGCAAAGAAGGAGACAGGGCAGGGAATGGGGTAGAGTTGGGGGGGCTGGACACAGAGAGACGTAGATGAAACAGAGACAGGGAGAGAGAGAGAGAATAAAAAGATCAGAAAGAGGTATAGGAGCCCTGCTTCGAGGGCAGAACCTCGAAGGTGGGCTAGGGCAAAGGGGAAGGAAAAACTGTGGAAACAGAAAGAGATACATTCACGATCCCACACTCACCTCTACCAGTACAGCTCCGGCCCTACAATTGGAGGCGGTACATCCGCCTCTTCAGAATAGAGGGATGGGCCAAGAATTCCTGAAACTGAACCGGAGACAGGAAGAAAGAGGGTGTTCCTCAGATCTCTATAGGAGCAGCTCAGCGTCAGTCAGAGAAAGAAAGAGAGTGAGAGGCTGTTCCTGGCACCTCTATACGAGCAGCTCAGAGTCAGGCATAGAGTTGCGGCGGGGGTTGGAAGAGAGTGTTCGGTATCTTTTTAGGAGCATCTGAGTGTCAGTCAGACACAAACAGAGAGAGGGAGACAGAAAGAGACGATGTTCCTCTCATCTCAAAAGGAGAAGCTCAATCTCACTCACCATTCTGATTTGGATATTTATTGGCTGCTCCTTCAGTGTATTTGTCAAAATCGTGGATTTCTCTCCCGAACTGCGGTGTAGTGTCTGCACAATGTGGACTGCAGCAGTTCAAGGCGGCAGCTCAGTTCACAGTGCCCTGGAATTATAATGGCGCAAAAAGAGGTCATTCGGCCCATCCTGCTTGCATTGCTTTGATTATCAGGCGTTAATTTCCTGCCTTTTCCGTATGTCCCTACACCCTATTGGGGCCCAGAGGTTCCTCCTCTGTCACATTGGCCCGGGTTGCATCCTTCTGTTTTGTAACGATAGAGGCAAAGTGTTAATTTAAAACCTCAGCTATGACCCCTGCCTCCAGGTGTAAATCCCCTTTAATGTCTCTGATCTGCCCTACTCCTCCTTTAACTACTCCTACTTCCTTATATATGCACATACAAGAATTTAATATTCTCTTTATGTCAGCTGCCAGTCTATTCTCAATTCCTCATCGCCTCTCCAATTTACTTATTCTTCCCGTTCAACTTTTGGTTCTCAAGTGTATTCTGCACCTCACATCTGTCAGAAAACACATTTTCTCCTAACATTAAGTTACGCCCTCTTTGTCATTCAGGGAACCCTGGATTTGTTTGTCCTACCTTTTCTATTTTCAAATCATCCTTTAGGGGAGGTATTGGATAAGATTCTGAAGGAAAATGAATGACCATTTTAGAGAGTCAAGATGTGATTGCGCTGGAAGAGGTGCAACGAAGATTCGCCAAGGTGTTGCTTGGGATGAGGCAGTTTAGCTATAAAGAAAGGCAGGATGTTTTATTTGGAGCATGAAGGTCAGCACCCCTCACGAGGGGGGAGGGGAATGGTGGGGGGCACTGGTGGTTGGAGGGGGAACCTGGTAAATGTGTGTACGATTATGAGGGCAGTAGTCAGGGTGAATAGGAAGCAGCTGTTCCCCCTGGTTGCAAGGTCAATAACGACAGGGCATAATTTTAAAGCGAAAGGTTTAGAGGGAATTAGAGGATTTGTTTTTTCACCCAGAGCGATGGCGTCTGGAAAGCACTGCCTGGAGGGGTGGTTGAGGTGGATAACCTCACAGCCTTAAATAAGTACTTGGTTGCACACTTGAAATGTCATAAAATTCAAGATCATAGGGCTCGTGCTGGAAAGGTGGGACTAGTGTAGATTTAGTGTCACTTTCGCTTTATAGACTCGATGGGCCAAAGGGCCTCTTCAGTACTGTATGATTCAATCACATGATAATTCTCCAGGAAATATACCTCAACTTGGAGGGGATTTTGAGGGACACGTGTATTTGGAAGGGCAAGGACTGATCAGTGATAGTTAACAGTGCTTTGTAGAGTGGGAAATCATTTCTCACTAACTTGATTGAGTTTTTTTGAAGGAGTGACAAAGAAGATCAATGAAGGCAGAGTGGTGGATGTGATCTGTATTTATTTCAGCAAGGCATTAGACCAGGTTCCACATGGTAGACTAGTTAGCAAGGTTAGATCACATGGAATCCAGGGAGAGCTAGCTACTTGTGTACAAAACTGGCTTGAAGGCAGGAGACAGAGAGTGGTGGCGGATGGTTGCATTTCGGACTGGAGGCCTGTGACTAGGAGTGTGCCACACGGTGCTGGGTCAACTGTTTTTTGTCATTTATATGAATGATTTGCATGTGAATATAGGAGGTATGGATAGTAAGTTTGCAGATGACACCAAATTTGGTGGTATAGTGGACAGTGAAGAGGGTTACAACAGGACCTTGATCAGATGGGCCAATGGACCGAGGAGTGCCAGATGCAGTTTAATGTGGATAAATGTGAGGTGTTGCATTTTGGTAAGGCAAATCAGGGCAGGACGTATACACTTAATCACAGGGTCCTGGGGAGTGTTGCCGAACAAAGAGACCTTCAGGTACAGGTTCCTTGAAAGTGGAATCACAGGTAAACAGGAAAGTGAAGAAGGTGTTTGGTACGCTTGCCTTTATTGGTCAGTGCATTGAGTATAGGAGTTGAGATGTCATGTTGGGTCTGTACGGGACATTGGTTAGGCTACTTTTGGAATACTGCAAACAATTCTGGTCTCCCTGCTATAGGAAAGATGTTGTTAAACTTGAAAGAGTTCAGAAAAGATTTACAAGGATTTTTCTGGGATTGGGGGGTTTGAGCTATGGGGAGAGGCTGAACAGGCTGGTGCTATTTTCTCTGGAGCATCGGAGGCTGAGAGGTGACCTTATAGAGGTTTATAAAATCATGAGGAGCATGGATAGGGTGAATAGTGAAGGGTAGGGGAGTCCAAAACTACAGAGCATAGGTTTAAGGGGAAACATGAGAGGGGAAAGATTTAAAAAAGGACCTTAACGGGCAACCTTTCTACACAGAGGGTGGATAGTGTATGGAATGAGCTGCCAGAGGAAGTTGTGGAGGTGGCTAAAATTACAACATTTAAAAAGCATCTGAATGGGTATGTGAATAGGAAGGGCTTAGAGAGATATGAGCCAAGTGCTGGCAAATGGGACTAGATTAATTTATGGACAAGTTGGTCTGAAGGGTCTGTTTCTGTGCTGTACAACTCTATGACTCATTACTATTTCTCCTGCCAACCTCTTGTTCCAGTCATCCCTGCCCCATTGAAACGAGCTCTCTGCCGAATTTTTCTCACTCTTGATTGTTGCGTGTCGTTCTTCACCACCAACCTGAACCTCATGAGACAATGACCACTAAATACCTGCGGCACACCCCACTACCACTGACACTTGATCCACTTTCCCCTCCTCATTTCATTGGTCTGAACACGCATCCTTTCTTGTTAGACTGGACGCATAACTGCTCTGGAAACCCTCTTGAACACAATTCAGGAATACTTGCCCCTTGCTGCCCTTTACACTAGCAGTATCCCAGTCTATTTTTGGCTAAGTAATGCCCCCCATTGTAAACTACTCTACAATGCTGGCATCTCTCTCTAATTTCTCTGCTGTTGTGCTCTGCTATATCCTTTCCACTAGGTGGTGGTCTTTAGACTACACTGAGAAAGACTTACCATTTATGTTACTTACCTACAACCAAGTTGCCTCTGTAATTGAGCACTCCAAGACATTCCTTCTGCAGAACTACACCACCCTCCTTAACCAATACCGTGGGTCTTCTTCCTCTCTTTCATTTTCTATCTTTCCTGAACAAGCTAATGTAGTGATTGTAATGAAGTCAGCCAGGTAGATCTCATAGAATATGAATTCCCTGATTGGGGCTGTTAACCTGGTCTAATAAAGAGTCCTAGATGGCAGATATAAGCAGGAGTGTCAGGGATTCTGCTCACTCTAGGAGTTGTATTGGTGCTAGATGGGTCAGTGTCATGGACTATGCATGTGTAAATTGATGGTGACTTGTTGAAAGGATACCGGCCTTTGAGGGGCTATTTCAATGATGAAAAGAGTTGGATTCAACCCATACGTGGACAGCAAAACCCCAAAACAAAGCCAAGCCTCAGCCAAACGGTTAAAATTTTCTCAAGGTTGTGGGCCAGATGGCCATTGTAGTTGCTGCCAGGAGTGGCACAGTGGCTCAGTGGTTAGCACTGCTGCCTCACAGCGCCAGCAACCTGGGTTCAATTCCACCCTCGGGCGACTGTGTGGGTTTCCTCCGGTTTCCTCCCACAGTCCAAAGATGTGCAGGTTAGATAAATTGTGCAGGTTAGATAAATTGTCCATGCTAAATTGCCCATAGTGTTCAGGGATGCATAGATTAGGTCGGTTACAGGGGAATGGGTCTGGATGGGATGGGATGGTCTGAGGTTTAGTGTGGACTTGTTGGGCTGAAGGGCCTGTTCCCACACTCTAGGGATTCTATGATTCTATGTGGACTTAAGACAGCAAAAGAGCCCCACTGGGCCTGAATTGAGTAAGAAAACTCATAGGCTGGTATCCAGGAAAGTGTATACCCTGGAAAGTTTGGAACAGCAAAGTTGCTTAGCAACATCCAAATCAGAACCAATCAAAATAAACATCAGGTTAGACAAACAGGAGGCTGGAAGAACACAGCAAGCCGAGCAGCATCTGGAGGAAAGGAGCAGTCAACATTTTCGGTATAACCCCTCTTTAATCCTGAAGAAGGGTTATACCTGAAATGTTGACTGCTCCTTTCCTCCAGATGCTGGCTGGCTTGCTGTGTTCATCCAGCGTCCTGTTTGTCTACCTTGGATTCCAGCATCTTCAGTTTTTTTTTGGCTCTAGCAAAACACCTGGTTAAATGGTCACCCAGTTCTAATGGAGGTCGCTACTGGCATAGCTGTATCAGTGATTGCAGAACCAATCTTTACCAAAATTCAGCCTGGACTCCAACCCCTAAGTTTGCACAACACCTTGGCCAGGCTCAAAACCGATACTGGGGAACCCCTACAGATTAAGGATACAATTTCGGTTGTGGTCTCTTATGAGAAGCAGCTAGTTCAGATACCACAGATTGTACAAAAAGGCTCGGGCCCAAGCTTGATGGGGTGACTTAGTTGAGAAAGATTCACTTAGATTGGCTTAACATTTTTTTGATCAGAAAATGGCTTCCTGAGTGAAGTCCTAATTAAATACCCACAGGTTTTTCAGGGCAGTCTCTGGACAGTCAAAGGGGCCAAGGCCACCTTAACATGCTGACCAAGAAGCAATCCCACAAATCTGCAAGGTTGACCCAGTGCCATTTGCCCTGAGTTTACCCAATCCCTTTCCTAGAGGCCGTATATGCGAAACTGGTGGGTGTGGGGGTGGGAACAGCCTCCTGTTTGTCATGAAGCTGGACATGAGCCAATTGCAATTAGATAAGGATTCCGAGAGGCATGCTACAATTAATACCCATAAGGGTTTGTACCCGTATACGATACTGCCTTTTGGGGTATCGTCAACATGTGCCATTTTCCAGAAGACGAGAGAGAACATTTTACAAGGGCTACCCCAGCTCGCCATTTTACTGGATGAGGTGCTAATAACCGGGAAGACTAATAAAGATCATTTAGAGAACTTAGACACAGTGCTTAAATATTTCTCCAAGGTAGGGGTACATGTCTGGAGGGAAAATTGTGTGTTCCAGGCACCCCAAGTGTCTTACTTGGGCTACAGTATTGACAAGATCTGATGGAAAATAAGTGAGGGTGATCAAAGGTGCCCTATCTCCCATGTGTTTCCTTGGGTTGGTGAATTATTACAGAAAACTTATATGTAACCAGGCCTCCATGCTGGCACCCTCACCTTTGCTATTGAAAAAGGATCAGGCTTGGAAATACTCTGGTAGCCACAAGGGAAGTGAAGAAGTAGCTACAATCCCAAGCGAGATCTGGTGCTGACATGCGATGCCTCCTCTATCAGGTTAGTGTTGGCTCAAGGGTGGCCCAGTGGAGAGAAGCACCCAATAGCCTATGCTTCCCGGACTTTGGCTGATGCCAAACAAAGGTATCCCTGGATAGAGAAGGAAGGTTTAGCAGTCATGTTAGAATTCTTTGAGGAAGTGACGAGCAGGTTAGACCAACAAGAGCCAATGGATGTTATCTACCTGGACTTCAAGAAGGCCTTTGACAAGGTGCCGCACAGGAGGCTGCTGAGTGAGATAAAGGCCATGGTGTTAGAGGCAAGGTGCTAGCATGGATAGAAGATTAGCTGTCTGGCAGAGAGCAGAGAGTGGGGTTAAAAGGGTCTTTCTCAGGATGGCAGCTGGTGACAAGTGGTGTTCCGCAAGGGTCAGTGTTGGGACCACAACTTTTCACTTTATACATTAATGATCTAGATGAAGGAACTGTGGGCATTCTGGCTAAGTTTGCAAACGATACAAAGGTAGAGGGACAGGTAGTATTGAGGATATGGGGAGGCTGAAGAAGGATTTGGACAGATTAGTACAGTGGGCAAAGAAGTGGTAGATGGAGTGCAATGTGGGAAAGTGTGAGGTCATGCATTTTGGTAAATGCCATTTCTAAATGGGGAGAAAATTTAGAAGTCTGAAGTGCAAAAAAATTTGGGAGTTCTAGTCCAGGATTCTTTCAAGGCAAACTTGCAGGTTGAGTTAGTAGTGAGGAAGGCAAATGCAACTTTGGCATTTAGTTTGAGAGGACTTGAATATAAAAACAGGGATGTACTTCTGAGGCTCTACAAGGCTCTGGTTAGGCCACATTTGGAGTATTGTGCGCAGTTTTGGGCCCTATATCTCAGGAAAGATTTACTGGCCCTGGAGCGGCTTCAGAGGAGGTTTCCGAGAATGGCCGCAGGAATGAAAAGCTTAACATATGAGGAACATTTGAGGACTCCGGGTCTATACTCGATGGAGTTTAGAAGGATGAGGGGTATATCTAATTGCAACTTACAAAATACTGAATGGCCTGGACAGAGTGGATGTTGGGAAGATGCTTCCATTGGTAGGAGAGACTAGGACCCAAGGGCACAGCCTTAGAGTAAAGGGAAGACCTTTTAAAATGGAAATACGGAGAAACTTCTTCAGCCAGAGAGTGGTGAATCTATGGAATTCACTGCCACAGAAGGCTAAGGAGGCCAGGTCATTGACTATATTTAAGACAGAGATAGATAGGTTCTTGATTATCAAGGGGATCAAGGGTTATGGGGAGAAAGCGGGAGAATGGGGATGAGAAAGTTATCAGCCATGGATGAATGGCAGAGCAGACTCGATGGGCTGAATGGCCTAATTTCTGCTCCTATGTCTGATCATGAAATGGTCTTATGCCTTGAGCTGCCTCCCACCCCAGTAATACACCACCAGTAGTGCCGCTACTGGAAGAGTCTGCTGTGGTTTCAAACTTTCTGGACACTCTTCGAGTTACCACTGACAATATCAGACTGTGAGCACAAAAAAATCCCATCCTGTCAAACCTAAAAAAGGTGGTGGTGATGGGAGAAACAAAAGGGCCATCATGACCAGAATTGAAACCTTTCTGGACCTGGGGAGACTAGATCACCATAGGAGATGGCAAATGGAAAGCTAAAGTGATTGTCCTGAGCAAAGGTCACTGACAGATATTGGCTGAACTCCACCAAGATCATCCAGGGGCTTCCAAAATGACGATGTTGCTGAGAAGTTCTGTCTGTTGACCAGGATTGGATGCCAACATAGCCGTGTTGATGGGGCAGTGCCCCGAGTGCCAACAAGGACAAATATTACCAGCCAGCAGCTCCCCCACATTCGTGGGAATGGCCAGGTAAACCTTGGACCCAGTTACACGTCGACTGTGCCAGTCCTTTCATGGGCTCTATATTTTTAACCATTCAAAGTGGTCACACGTGCATAAACTTCATTTGTCAAACATGGCAATGATGATTGAAAAGTTACAAGTAACTTTTGCAATACATGGACTCCAGAGGTGTTGGTCACAGACAACAGGCCATCATTTACTGGCAGGGAATTCGAGTACTTCCTAATGTGATGATAGTGTAGCATAAAGAGGTGTATCTTGCCCTGGTTTCTTTTAGCGAGAGATTGGGGGACAGGTGAAGAGCAGTATCTGAGAAGATAAGCAACTTGTGAAGCCTTGGGTTTTATTTAAAAAGTTGGAACTATAGAAGCAGCCTGAATGGGTCTCCTATCCACAGAACCAGGGATTTTAGGTTTAGCTTTCAGCAGTTGCTGTTGGGGCCTCAAAGAAGTGAAACCTAGGTTTTTCCCCCTCTCTCTCGGAATTGTAGTTTTATGTTCTTTCCACCTGGATTGGAGTTGCATGTGAGACAGTCTGTTTTCTGAATTTGCCTTTTTGCAAGATTCTGGTTATGGGATGTTACTGTATTGGAACAGTTACTGTTTAGTGGTGAAATAATCTATTATTCTGTTAAGTTTTCCAATTGAGTTAAACAATTCCTTCTTTCTTTTGTTGTATTTGAACTATAGTCAATGAAGAAAGCGTGTTTTGCTTTAAATCTGGTAGTTTAACCAATTGAATTCCATCTGGAAAGCAATATCTTACATTTTCCTTTAAAATAAGAAAAAGTTAGGGTCTAGACTATCTGCTGAATATTTTGAGGGTGTTTGGTCTGGTCCGTAGCACTAAAGTTGAATACCATTCAGCACGTAAGGACAGCTCCATCCCATCTATTGTCCAATGTTCTGGTTGGAAGACCAGTCCAATCTTTGAAGCAAGGGTTAAAGAGACAGCCTACACTTTCACTCAGTACCAAACGGTCTTGGTTCCTGTTTGATGATAGGCCAGCCCCCATGCAACTTGAGGCAGCTCCAATAGAGTTGCTAACGGGGAGAAGACTCCACACCAGGTTAAATCTGATCTTCCCAGACTTGGGGTAGGGTGAAACAGTATCAGGAATGCCATTGTCAGACACAAGGTTCCTCTAAGTGAGTTAGGCAGTTTACTTCAGGGGATGAAGTTTGGTGTCAAAACCATGGGAATGGCTGTTCACGGGAAGAAGGAATGGTTGACGTGAGGTCATGTAGGTGAGGTGATCCTGAACAAGCATGGGGAGCACACGAAAGCTGCAATTTTGCAAACGAGGCGGGAGCAAAACATACCCAGCACCTCCGGCAAGGTGTCAGAACCTGTGGGTTCTCCCCTTCTGCCTAACATTGAAGAAACATGTGAGGACGAGACAGATGGCAGATGTTGCAGCCTTGATGCCATTATGGGCTGAAGAAGAAGATGAGTTTTGGCCGATACACTCGAAACGCAAGAGGCAGGCTATGGTCTGGTATATGGCACCAGTATCCAAGGCAGAGTTCAAGGAACTGGACCTGGTGTGAAAGTGCCCCAGGAGAAGCTACAGGAAAAAGAATGGGCCTACATCCCAGGATTTAGAGGTGGAGAGCTGTAGTGATTGGAATGATGTCAGCCAGGTGGATCTAATAGAATATGAATTCCCTGATTTGGGGCGGTAACCTGGTCCAGTCAGGGAGTCCTGGCTGACAGATATAAACAGGAATGTCAGGGGTTCTGTTCACTCTTGGAGCTGGCTTGGCGCTAGTTAGGTAAGTGTTATGTGTTATGCACGTGCAGATAAAAGGTGACTCGGTGAGTGGATACCAGCCTTCATGGAATTATTTCAGTTATTGCTCAGGAATATTTAACACTCAGTTTTGCCCTTCCTTGAGTGAAGTCTCCATCACTGACACGTTATAATGCCACATTACACTCTGCATCTGTAACTCCCTGACCTTATCTACTATATACCGTGCATTTACATACATGCACGTTAACCTAGTTTTGGACTACCTTTCTTCCACTTCCCCGCTCCACCAACTCCGACATCACCAGTTAACTGATTATTCTCCATTCTAGTGCCAGCTGTACCAATTGGTACTTTACAAACACTGGTATTCTTCTCTACTATTCTCTCTTGGTTTCCGCACTTCTGCCAAGTCAGATAAAACCCTCCCATTAGAACAAAACTCTCCACAAGGACTCAAGTTTCTACAACGTTCTTGGTTTGTACAGGTGCCGTCTTCCCCAGAGCCATTTCCAGGGACCAGGAATCAAAAGCCCTCATTACCTGAGGGGGGCTTTCAGAAGTAAGATAACTAGAGTTCGGAGACAGTTTATTCCTCTTAGAGTGAAGGCAAGGCTGGTAAGAGTAGAGATAGTGAGTCTCTAGTCAAGAAAAAGGAGACCTATGTCTGGTATAGACAGCTGGAACCAAGTAAATCCCTTGAGGAGTATAAAGGTAGTAGGGGCATACTTAAAAGGGAAATCAGGGGTGTAAAAAGGGGATATGAGATTGCATTCTCCTTAACCTTATCTACCTAGGCTAAGAGACTCCACAAGTACATAAAGGGCAAAAGAGCAACCGGGGAGAGAATTGGGCCCCTTCAAGATCAACAAAGCTGTCCATGTGTGGAACCACAAGATATGGGTGAGATGCTAAGTTAATATTGTGCATCAGTATTTACAATGGAGAAAGACACGGACGCTATGGAACTTGGGAAAATAAATAGTGACATCTCAAAAACAGTCCACATTATAGAAGAGGTGGTTCTGGAGATCTTAAATTGCAAAAAGGTAGA